CAACTTCCTGCTAAAGCGCTTGGCCACTTGCCGGGAAAAATGTTGCCACGCGCCCGGTACAGCTATCATACATTATTTACTTCTTTCGTTAATTATTAATCAAATATACAATAAAACGTAGGTGGGTGGTTCTTAGAGAGATGGGATTTTTTTGATTCGCATAGTGGGGGATGGAGTCCAGCTGGGTCCACTCGGCACGTCGGCCACTGATTGGCCTATTGTACCTGCCCCGGTGATTATGATTATGGAGAATTTGGTGGAATGAAGATTGGCAGGGGAAACTTAAGTACTCGGAGAAAACCCGCCCCAGAGCCACTTTGTCCACCACAAATCCCGCTTGGCCAGACCCGGGCTCGAACACGGGTCGCCGCGGTGGGAAGCCAGCGACTAACCGATTGAGCTATGGCGCAACCTTAGAGAGATGGGATGGCATGGGTTGGATTGATCTGACTCAGGATAGGGACCAATGGAGGTGAACACAGTAATGAACCTAAGGGTTCCATAAAATGCTGGGAAGTTCTTAAGTAGCTGCACAATTTGCAGCTTCTCAGGAAGGGCTCACCTCCATGAGTGAGTGATGTGCAATAACTAGATTAGAATCTTGTCCAGCGCTGTGCTGTTAGTATTGACGATGCTAATTAGATAATGAAGACCTGTAGTTAGCAGTATGATTTATACAGGACATCCAGTACTGCGGACGTTGGTATCAAGGAAACCGCCATGGGCTGGACATGTCGTTCGGATAGAACTAGGGTTTGTTTGTGAATAATAAACATATGAGAAAGTGGCTAATCGGAAGACCGAGAAGGAAATGGTAGTTTGACTTCAAGGCAGTTGCACTGGATTGTTAGGTAGGCCGCACATCGGCATGCGTCAAAACATGTAACAGTCAAGACACGATGTCTGCGACATGACGCAAAGAGAGGAGTACAGCTGAAACGAATGAGAATATGAAAACCGCCGCACACCGGCTGACGTTAGTTTCATGCTGACGAATCACGAATGAAGCAAGACTGCGTCTTTTGAACCATGTCTTGATGCTTGACGCAGTTGGTGTGCGGCCGCCCTTAGAATGAGGAGTTCGAGGAGATAACTCAGGATCATATCAGTTGGCACGGTTTGGTATCAGTGGTGCTGCATCTTTTACTTGCATTACCAGAGATTTATTGTTGTAAACTTTAGAATGAACAGAGTGACACCGGGGCCAGTCTTGCCTGGGATCCTTGAACTCCCTGTCAACACCAATGTGGCAATCGTGTGAACTTGAGGACTAAGAAGACAAGCATAGTTCAGAGAGGGGCCTTGAACGTCTGTACAAGCAGAGGTCTCTGAAGGAATTAATTTTTATTAAGGCATTTTTTATTAGAAGGAAAAATAGCAACTTAATGTCTTAACATACTATAAGACGGCTAGTTAGTTAGTTAGTTATTTAGAGAGGGTGGGTTTCCTCATGCACCGCGACCAGTTTGATCTATTGTGCTTCCCTCTATGATATTCTACTAGTCTCTATACCCTACCGATAAATGGTGCGTACCATCAGTCCCGCCGAGCAAGCGAGGTCGACCACTTGCTTAGCGATGTCTATAATGCTTCCCCCATCAATCAGAGGCCTTAGAGGCTATTGTTGGGCGGGAAACGTCCTGGAATTTGGCTCAGTGATCCCCTTTGGGGATATGAGGTTCTTTTACGTGCCGTAAAGTTACGACACGGGACACAGATTAAAGTCCCTCCCGGAGGACTTATTACCTGAAATTTTCCGCCCTTAAAAATTCGACGACTTCCGCCGGGTATTTGAACCCGCGTACTACGAGTCATGAGGTGGGAACGTTACCTCTAGACTACGGAGCCCGCTTATAAGACGGCTATATGAAGAGCGAGAGGTGCTGAGACCTCCGAGGTCTAAACCTGATGAATTTAAAAGAGTACCAACCCGGAGGCAAGTGATTCTAGCAGCAGTTACTTCAGTTCTTGAAAGGACACATGAAAAGATGACACAAACTTAATGTGTACATTTTTGTCCCGCATTTCGTATGTTTCCTTGCAGATAAATTATCTTTGAAGTCTTGTTTCACAGATTATTTCATGTATTACATTTGGTTGAACTTCAGAGTGCGCACCTTATCTTGTGTCTGGAATGAACTGATCGCCAAACCAAAACCAAAACCGGAGATAGGGTCTAGCTCTATCGATTGGGCCCAAATGAGTAGGCTTTACCTGAAGACAGAATCAAGTCTCCGAAACTTTGTGTTTTGAAAAATAAACTGGACTGTTTTTAGATAGAGACAAGACGATGCATAATCTCCAAGAACATCATACTTGTACCAGTGTACCATCGTCACAAACTTATAGATCTTAAGAGTGGAGTTGGACAGAAAGATTTGTTGATAGGTGACGGACGGGCGGATGGATGGTCAGTCAGAAAAGTTTCTGTGGGGTTCCTCGCCGACGACACACGGACACGTGAGCCGCGCACAGGCTTTGGTATAGACAGTGACCGATATATAAATTTTTTGATTGAATCGACATCATCGATAGACGGCGCACTGTTATGGAGAGTGGTCGTAATGCCCCCTTTAAACAGCATTTGGTACAGTGACTGAGATTAGTTCTTTCTAAGGGGCCTAAATGAGTAGGTGTCTTCCTTTCTCACCTGAAGACGGAAACAGACATAGTTTCCGAAACGTCGTGTCCTCTATTGCCTACAATTCCGGACGATGGAAAAAGTCCAAAAACCCAGTAATTCTGTGTCATCCACCATCGTCAGAACCCATTAGAATCTGCTACCATTGTCTTGTTACACTTCCTCCCCGTTTATCTTGAATGTAAGCGGAATCTGTATTTGCGTTCGTCGTGTTATGTTAATCTTGAATGTAAGCGGAATCTGTGTTTGCTGTTCTTCGTGTTATGTTTATCTTGAATGTAAGCGGAATCTGTGTTTGCTGTTCTTCGTGTTATGTTTATCTTGAATGTAAACGGAATCTGTGTTTGCTGTTCGTCGTGTTATGTTTATCTTGAATGTAAACGGAATCTGTGTCTGCGATCGTCGTGTTCATGTTACGCTGCAGTTTGGTGCAGTGAGAAAACTGTGTAACCGTTCTTACCCCCTTTTGCTTTCCGTTGTTGGGTGTGGTTTCGGTAGGCAGTGAAATTCCTTCTCAGGTCTTTATACGGGTCTTGGATTATGAGTAGAACAAGGGTACTAATATCACGCCGACACACCTTACAATTACTCACTGTTTATTATCATAGGCTGAAACACTTCTGTCCGTAGGGATTACACACATTACATTTACACACTGTTAAACGTTTTACCATATGCAGAAACAC